TTGTGTATTAATGTTAACAAAAAAACGACAATGCGAAATCAATGGAAAGTTCAAGGAAAGCATTTTACGAAGCACGCCAACATTTTAATTAAACTCGGTACTTACAATAAAAAATATCGACAGACGATGACATGCGAATACCTTGTTTTTTTCCACGACTTTGATCGTTAGCTTTTGTTACCCAAACCTGATTATTTAATATACATTATCCATTAGATTTTATTAATATTGGCAACGTGAATACAATGCATATTACTATCAGAGTAAAATGTCTAGTCCGCTCACTGGGTGGGGCGATTATAATGAAATTTGGGCTACTTATCAACTAATAACTTGTTCTTATAGTACAAAAATTTGAAAATTTTTACAAACTGCGTTACTAAAAAAATAATTCACACTAATTAGAGAAAATTACGAGAACAACAAAATAAGGCAGTCGATAAATAACAAAATAATCACACCTACTTATAATTTATTATTAAAACAAAAAACCCCTTTAAAAAATGTAAAAACCAATACATGGTCCTCCCCTTCTCGCTTGTGGATGAGATAGCACTCTAACAATTTATTGTTTTTGTTTGTTATATTTATCTGGAGCATCAGCGTATTTTAGAAGCTTTGTTTGATTCTTTTAAAAAAGTGCCCCATCTTCAGTTGATTGTTCCACCTTCTCTTGATCAGATCATTTCCCGTCCTCCACGTAGTCTTACAGGGTTCCATACTTTCAAGGGTAACACTACTACTCTTTCTGCCTCTTATAGAATCTAATCTTTCATCGGCACCGTAACGCATTTCCTTCAAAAATCCTGTAAGAATTCATTTTGTCCATCTAATGGAGGTGGAATATTACAGGGAGTCCTTCAAGTACCCCTTTCTCTGTTTAAAGGACACAGTCCTGATTTGGATAATATAGCGTTCTCACCGTCCACCATTTTATTTACCTAGAGACTTTTTTAACAGACCGGGAAAGTATTTTTTATCAAACGATTATCCGCGCTCCACAAGACTGGACGAAGGACGGATAATGTAATTTCAATTAAAGAAAATCACTGGACAAATAATCCGCCGCTCGGATAACCTGCGCACGAATAATCGGGATTCTACTGTATACAGTGTGTTTGAGATCACCCCATTCCATAAATTCTATAAGGATTCTATGAATTCCAAAATAATTCCATGAATTCCAAAAGAGTTTAATGAATTCCGTGAGAATGCCATGAATTGTAAAAGGTTGTACATTAAAATTCCACAGTGGTTTGCCCCTCGGTAATCAACAAAACCATCGGACGCAATGTGTAACCTTGCACTACACGATTTTCCTCCTAGATCCGCTCCCGATGATCTCGTCTCACAATATGTTAGTTTTGGGAACCCTCAGCACTTTTTTTATCAGATAATAAGCGCATAACCGGCTTTGTAGCTCAGTGGTAGTGCGTTGGGCTACAAAACCGGAGGTCGGGTGTTCGAACCTGGGTGAGGTAGGAATTTTTTATCTGTGGCAGAGATGGGAATTTCCTTATATCAGTTTCGAGCATTCTGCCGGCTATTCCGAATTTTCTGCAGTTTTCTTAATTCGTAAGGTAAATACCGAAGCAGTAGAGAACAACTTAAGACCTTCTGCAGAGGCACCTCTAAAAAAGTATTATGCGGGTCACTCTGTAATTGGGTGTAAATCTGTTGAGGGCCTAGAACAGAGTAACTTTTTTGCAAATGCCCAATAATAGGTAAATACTTCTACTATCTCGTTCCCTCACAAGTCACATTATATTAGTTTCTGGAGCTCTTACTCTTCTGTTAACTCTCTTATGCCTGCCATTTTTTCGCTACAACTTTTGCGTAAATCCCCAAAAATATATTGAATTTATTTGATAGAAATCGGTTCCATTTTAATACCTACACTTAAACTGAACGAGACACTCCGGTAGTAGTCAGTTCTTGTAGTTCGCAAATCTTTTAATAATTGCAATTCCTGTCGCGATTTTTTGGGCAATGTCTACATACCTACTATGAATAAATGATGGACGTCCTGATGGTGTTATTACTATTTAATTTAACCAAAATATGTATTTAAAGTACCATTATTTCGAAAGAATGCGACTATTATGAACAAAAATGATTCCCATTACCAAAATTATATGTCAATTCTCCATTTTGTGGTGTCGTGCAATTTGAGTTCCTCAAAATAATCATCTTGATCTTCCTTGATGCGCCTTATTTAGTGTAAGAGATATTACAAAAAAAAAGCTACACGCATGTGAATATTTCCACCGCATAATGCATTGTTTTGGTAAACAATAATCTCATAGTCGCTTTTTATGCAGAAGTAACAGTATTAAACATCAATCTACCTTAATAGCAACAAAATTTGTTGCAGGTGTATTGCGTGCTTTTTTCACAATAGCATGTATAGCCGAGATGTTTAAAACCCATAAAATGAATTTTATTGCCCATGCATGCGCACTAATTGTTACCTTTTATGCATTTCACACGATTACAAAGTAAAGGCAGAATCTAATGAAGTAATTAATAAATCGAGTGTTCCACGAATTCTACACTAATAACTGTTTATATAAATTAGCCGATCCTCCGCGCGTTATAATTTATCCTTTGATGTCCTAATGGATCGGACGAAAATTGTAGCGATGCATTAATTACGCTATGTGATTGAGTATAATCATCATTTGCCTACGAAGAACGCCCATTGCTTAAGGTTAATAAAAGATTTTGAAATCTTCATTTACTAACGCATCGTCTTGCGGTCGGATGTTTGAGGTATACCTGCGATTTGTCCTCGAGGGAAGGCAGGAGATTTAATTTCGTGAGATCTTAATCTCCTTTCTATTACAGGTTTAAGGTGTTCATCTTCACACCTTTGGATAAACGAACCGTGGGCATTGGTTCTTCTTCTTTACTTCCTTGTTTTTATCGCATTTTGGGTCTTTGTGGTTTTATTTGCAACTCTTGTTTTAATCAGGAAACACCGCAAACGGTGTATAAGTCCATTTATAAAAAGCAAAGTTTTGTTTTGTTGTTTGTTCAATAAGAATAAGTAATTATTTTCATTTTTCGTGACGACGCGACGGTTGGCAGCCATGTTCCTGAGGTTAAGTTTGTTGAAAGATTAATGTTAGAACCTTAATAAAACGTCTTGAGCTTCAAAAATAGAAAAATTAAAAAAGTTCATAAATGTCATTCGATATTCATCATACATTTTTTATTAACCATCTACACACTTTATAATTTATAAAATATTTTATGATCGTACTTCAACACCTCCCCTCGATTAAAAATATTTATAAATTCAAAATAAAGAATACTACATCAAAACTTACTTTTAAGTTTAAAAATAGGAAATACACAGTTTTAAATAGAAAATACAAATTACCTCCCCTTATTTCATATTTAAAAAAATCTTGATTCTTAGGGTAGACCTATAGTCTTAGCAAACATTTCTGTTTTGGGCCCCGACAGGGACTTCGTGAAGGGGTCAGCAAGGTTTTCTGATGAAAGTATATATTCTACTTTGATCATTCTGTTACTAATACACCGAGGGGTAATTCGCAACTCATAATTTGTACAGAGATTACCACTTTTGCCTTGATTCCCTCAGATTTCCTGTAAATTTCCTATGATTACCTTGGGAGTTCCTGTGATTACTTCGGGATTTCCCATGATTACTTTGGGATTACCCCGATTTCCTCTGATTTCCTCTGATTACCTCCCAAAATTTCTCTAAGATATATTTGTAAAAAGTTGTTGAACCTACAGGTTAATGATATATAAACTTTAATTAATATAAACGGAACATGACGTATTTAAACTGATAAGAAAATTATAATAAAAATATTAACAGAAAATAATGAGCTTTGTTTCTAAGTAACTTAGGTAACGTTTCTTTGGTAAAATTCTCAATATCTTCCAAATCTATATCAGTTATTTGAGCAATTACTTTCCAATCGATAACCATTTACGAATAAAAGTTTCTTCAGCTGGATAGGGATTTCAACCCCAATGGATTCTTCTACATTTTAAGAAAAATTCATCTGTAGGAAAGAGTTCCTCAGTGGGGTCATCCATGATGCAGACCACCTGTGAAGAGAAGATGTGTCACTTATTGAAAACGCGCGTGAATCTCAGTTTAAAACTTTTGCAAACGCTTTCGTTTACAAATTTGTTATGCGATCCTTATGACAAAATCGAGGATAAACAGTTTTTTATGCAGTTTTCATGTACCCCGGGTCCAGATCCAGAGGGCCATAAAAATGTTTTGATGAACTAATATAATATTTCTACAGAAGTGTAGAATATTAATTACACGGTGTTTTTTTTAAGATCATACGACAATGTAAAGGCGTTGAGTTATTTAAAATGGGGCACAAGGAAATTTCGAGGGAAATTTACATTGCATCAGTTATTGTTTCGGTAATAGCTTACTCGCAAATCATTTGCCACAGTACTGTAGAAATTGTTTCTAAATGAAGAATTTTATTCAAATCAGATATAAACGCATAAGATTACAATCGGTGCTCGAAATGGTTCCACCGGCAATCAAACAATACCCGATACTCGGCACTGAAAAGCTCGCATACCACCGGGCTACCGTGTCCACTCTTGTCCGCTGTCCGTAATCACGAAATACTAATTAATTGTCGATTTGCCATTTACCAAAGTCGGTTTTTTTGGTACAAAAACGGGTTTCTCCAACTTTTCGCTAATTAATTTCACAGTTTGGCTCCATACACACTCGCTAGGATTTTTATTAGAATTATAATTTGATACGTGCAGAATGGAGATGCTTATCCGCTCCCGTATATTTCTTTAGCATTAAATTGCATAGGTTCTCCAATGGGGACGGTACCGCCCCAGTGGACGCTGAAGCATTTCAGGGGGCGTTGATTATCTACGTACAGAGGTTATTTTTTGCTCCTTAAGGGGGCGATGCTTCAGAAAATGTTGAAAATCTATGCATTAAATCGATCTAACGGTAGTTTTTGTTGCAGATAATGGCTTTATACATGCGATTATTCAGTACATCTTTATTCATCCTCTTCCACGTAGCGGCAGCCCCACAGAATACAAAAAACGAAATTGAAAACACGAGGCAGCAAAGATCCTTCCCTTTCTACGACTACTACCAACCCGAAGGATTAGATTACAACTACGAAATTGAGCAAGAGGATTTCGTACCCGAAGAGCTAGAAGAAAACGAGTTGAGCAGCAGGACCCTTCCATCTCGTAAACGTTACAACGCCCGTCCGCAATTTAACTCCCCAATTTATTACATCCGAATGCCTCCCCAACCTTACATGTTTGTGCCGAACCTCGGATACGTATCGCAACCGCCCGCTCATCCCCTCAACCAGTTCCTTAACGTCCCGGTAAGCTTCCTCGCGAACGGGAAACCCTCGTCGATTTATCAGTGGAGCGGCGCTTTCGACCACTTCTCGGCACCGCCGCCGACCACGCCGAAACCGAAGCCGGCTAAGCCGGACTCGAACGTCCACCGACTACCGGGACAGTACAACTTCAACGGCAAACCCGAGGACATCTACGTCTTGCAAGACTCGTATAATTCGCTTTATAACGACGCCTTACAAAATTTCTACCCTTGAACATTGCTAACGTAGTTAGATTTAACGGTTGTGAAAGATCCATTTTTAACCATAAGGTGCGCAACTTATTTATTTACGCTCAAACTTGTTCTCGCCGACTTAGGTAACAGTGTGTCGTATGTCCCCCCCAAAAACCATAGGCTTTGTACTATCGATGAACAATCGTAATTTCACTCTTCTGCTTTTTAATTTAGTTAGCGCTCATCTACTTAACATAGTTATAAACGTGAATAAGTGTGAGTGATTGATTAAACATGTAAATACTAGAAGTGTGCACATTGCAAATGAGACAAAATGAAACCAAAAACGTTACAAGAATTGTGATTATTTAATTTAATTACTTCTAATCACATTAATTGGATGAAATTCGTATAGATATATTATTTACTCTAGCTAGTTATATTTATGTAGAGATTTATGTGTAAATTATTTTGTATTTATTGTAGTTGTAGCTATAGTAGCTTCTATTAAATAAATCAGTTTTTTTACGTACCTTTAATTTTTGTAACATGTAAGAACCGGCGCTTACAATGCGTGCAGTTAGCACTGTAATGGAAGCACTAAGGAATGTTACGTTCCTGTCGGTAGTGCTTGATGTGCACAAAAAAACCCGCAAAATTCAGAAACCACGGTTTCTTATTAACGAAGCACCCAACTTAAAATGCTTTCTAGATACCGGTGTTCAGCAAAGCTGGTCCACTCCACAAATATACGGTATGGTCATACTTCGGGTGTGAACAGAAGTATTTTAAACTAAATAAGTGCATAACAACCAATTTGGACACCTTTTGTCACACATTTGTACTGCCATAGGTCAAGTTGAAGGTCTTAGGCGTTTGAATAGTGTATCAAGATGAAATTTTTGCAACTTCGTAAATGATGATTTTTAAACATTGTTGTCAATCATATTATGTCATCTACAGACCATCTGACAGATTACCCCAGAGAGAGAATGGGATCTAAAGAAGACATGCGACATAGACATGGTCACACATGCTGAGACAAGACGAGATTGAAGGCAACCTGGAAAAGGGGCATATTAATATAGCCCTGATAGGAAACGTCTTTTGGGTGAATTTGAACTAAACAAGTTAATTTATGTATGCGTAAAAAGAAGCATTTAAGAAAGAGCGCCTCTAAAGATGAGAAAGGCAGCATGAAAGCCAAAGATGGAGAAGAAGAAATACGGTGAAACCAGTTTCAAAAACGGTGTAGTGAGGCATGTCGAGATGAATAGTTATATGTTGATTTTTCTTAAGCCGATTCGTTGACTTGTAAGCTTGTAGTTGCTCCTTAGGTTATAGCTCCGAATATGAAACTTACCTTTTTTTGCTTGAGTAGCATATTCGGATGTGGCGCCGTCTGGTGGCGAATTTAACATAAGATGTGGTGAAACAAGTTCATCGACCGTTTATTACTGTATTAATATTTACAAGCTTACTCCAAATAAAACAACAATTATGACTTCGAAAAACACTTTTCGTTCGTCCAGAGTTTCTTGTTGTGTTGTTGGATGCAGTAATTCGTACATAAATACGGACTCTTCTGTAAAATTATACAGCTTTCCCAACAGACCATATGAGTTGCAAAGAAGAGAAAATTGGATAAAGAAAGTGAGAAGAGTGTAAGTACACATCTGTTTTGCTATTATTTTACATAGTTTCGTCTCCAGAACGGCCGTTTTTTTGTAATTTTTTTGTGTGCAATAATCCAATTTGAGGTTATGATCAAGCTATTAAAAGGGATCCCCGCGTTAAATGACCTGTAAAACGGCCCCTTGCTCCCGACTTGTTGTGTAGATGGTTTCCTGATATTTTCTACTTTTTGCCCACCAAAGAATATATTAAAAATGGTGTTTCTGGAGACAATTCTTGTCAGAAATCGTGTTTACGAACTAATTTGCACATTTCATTATTTTTACTGTTTCATATAATATTTACGTAAGTCTCTATTTAGGAACGAAATTTAATATAATTAAACAATAATGCAACAAGAAAAGAAGCCTGAATTTTTAAAATTCCTGCAAGACAGCCGGCTGTAACTACACTGTAATGTAACACGCAACTGACCCAACCTTAATTTCTACGAGTAAATCAGATGCAAATCAAACGTGAAAAACTATACTCTAATCTCTTAAACCGTACGGACTGCTACAAACCNCGTTGGACATTAAGAACGGACGCTATTGATTTTCAGGAAGCTGGTGCAACAGGAACAAAAGTTATACGACTTCGAGTGAATCGGGAACAGGAAAAACTGCGAACTCAATATAATAAAAATTAACATATTTCATTCCCTAGGTTATGTATCGAGTTCGGACTTTCGTTAGATTATTCCCTATGACTCTTAGATGTGTAACAATTCAATATAACTCTTCTCTGTGGTCTCGGTCAAAAGTTTTAGAGCAAAATGTACCCAAAATTATTCTTTACACATGAATTTAGAGTTGTAAAAGCTTTCAAACAAACGCATTATCTTGATGCTGAAAGAGTTGATAACGTGCACGTTTGATAACCGCATGTGTGTGATTCAAAAATGTTAAATTATTTTTCTGAGGCCACATGGATTTTGATCAAAACATGTCAAAATCGTTATTTATGCACCAAGATCGTTGGGAAAAGACTAGGCGCATTATCTCAATGCCCAAGACATGAATTTGATGCATTTTTTGGCGACCACGTGGATTTTGATCAAAACATGTCAAAATCGTTATTTATGCACCAAGAGCGTTGGGAAAAAGACTACGCGCATTATCTCAATTCCCAAGACATAAATTTGATGCATTTTTGGGCGACCACTGATTTTGATCAAAAACCATGTCAAAAACTTTATTTATTGCACCAAGAGCGTGGGAAAAAGACTACGCATTATCTCAATTCCCAAGACATGAATTTGATGCATTTTTTGGCGACCACGTGGATTTTGATCAAAACATGTCAAAATCGTTATTTATGCACCAAGAGCGTTGGGAAAAAGACTACGCGCATTATCTCAATTCCCAAGACATAAATTTGATGCATTTTTGGCGACCACGTGGATTTTGATCAAAACATGTCAAAATCGTTATTTATGCACCAAGAGTCGTTGGGAAAAAACTAAGCGCATTATCTCAATGCCCAAGACATGAATTTGATGCATTTTTGGCGACCACGTGGATTTTGATCAAAACATGTCAAAATCGTTATTTATGCACCAAGAGCGTTGGGAAAAAGACTAAGCGCATTATCTCAATGCCCAAGACATGAATTTGATGCATTTTTGGCGACCACGTGGATTTTGATCAAAACATGTCAAAATCGTTATTTATGCACCAAGATCGTTGGGAAAAAGACTAGGCGCATTATCTCAATGCCCAGACATGAATTTGATGCATTTTTGGCGACCACGTGGATTTTGATCAAAACATGTCAAAATCGTTATTTATGCACCAAGAGCGTTGGGAAAAAGACTAAGCGCATTATCTCAATGCCCAAGACATGAATTTGATGCATTTTTGGCGACCACGTAGATTTTGATCAAAACATGTCAAAATCGTTATTTATGCACCAAGATCGTTGGGAAAAAGACTAGGCGCATTATCTCAATGCCCAGACATGAATTTGATGCATTTTTGGCGACCACGTGGATTTTGATCAAAACATGTCAAAATCGTTATTTATGCACCAAGAGCGTTGGGAAAAAACTAAGCGCATTATCTCAATGCCCAAGACATGAATTTGATGCATTTTTGGCGACCACGTGGATTTTGATCAAAACATGTCAAAATCGTTATTTATGCACCAAGAGCGTTGGGAAAAAGACTAAGCGCATTATCTCAATGCCCAAGACATGAATTTGATGCATTTTTGGCGACCACGTGGATTTTGATCAAAACATGTCAAAATCGTTATTTATGCACCAAGATCGTTGGGAAAAAAACCAAGAGCATTATCTCAAAGCCCAAGACATGAATTTGATGCATTTTTGTTAACTATAAAATGTATTTTGTCAGATTAATAATAACAATAAATTGTCGTTAAAAGTGATTGTAATACTGAGGATCCTTCGATATTTCGTTGTATCGGTTTATTTATTGATGCAAAACGTTATATATACGTCTTTCGCTATAGAAACCGTTGCACGTCATTGATTTGTGTATCAATTTCAGACATATGCTGCAACACTGCAACATGTACAAAAAAAAACAAGTGTGCGAAATCTATAGAAAACTTGTCTGAAATTGATTCATAAATCAATGACGTGCATCGGTTTTTATAGCGAAAGACGTATAGGTTACAATTTAAACAATTCCATGTAAGGTTCAGAACTACCAAATTTATATTAATCAAATGATCAATACACAACGAATATTTCTAATTTTTCAGAGAAAGCGCACGCAATTGAGTTTATTTAATATACCTACGTAGAATGCAAGACGTACCTCATCTCAAACCAGCTGGTGTAACTGTGACGTCACAGGAAATACAGATAAACGGCCCTGGTTTTCGGCATCATTACAGAAAACTATAACGATGACAAGGGCAGGATTATTACAACAATGGTCTCCTTCCAATCTTACATCCTTTTCACAGCAATCTTCCATTTGAATTGCCAATGCTTCATAAATATTGGAATGCTGACAAAGAACAACGAAAGTTTTACATGCAAAATGGCAGTCTAAACTGGGCAATTGGTGTTAAAATGCTGCTTCTACACCTTGATCTATTGATGGGTATGGAAAAGAAATTGTGGAACAGTATTTAGCACTTTTTCCACCAAATATATCTAATTTAAACGCACATAGAAGCTTCGCCCTGCCTGCATCACGCGTCCTTCTCGAATGCGAATGAATGAGTGCGCACGTTTCATTTATCCTGTGAAACCGAAACATCGAATCGTGCGCCTAATTTCATTTAATATTAATGACAACATGAAAAATACACTTAGTTACTGTATCGTTTGGTATTATATATGGTAGTTCGAAAATATATATGCAGGAATCATCTCAGGTTATATAAATGAATGGCTGCTTTGACTGGAAATCGAAATACGAGTATTATATATACTATATATACTCGTATTTAAGGCAACGGTACCCAACCGGTAGGTTGCCACCCATTAGTAGGTTCCGAATGGATTACAGGCGAGTCGCAGCAACACAATGCTCACAACCATTAAACCACCAGAACAGATTCGAAAAAATTTAAACGAAAATCTGGAAACGCCACGCCACACTTAACAATACTTAGGACGCTAAGATAGCATTCGATTTCTGGGAAGGTTACAAAAAGACGCCCTCTTGCTGGCCTCTAACAAACAACTATTATATGTGCAAGAGTACCGATAATCAACGGGTATTACATTTATCTCCACAGAGGAAGAAGATTTCTGTGTACTTTTATAATTGTAGTTTTTATCTTCACCTAAG